CCATCTGTTTCAATGGTTTTCCACAGAGACCCAAGACTTGGTGTTAGTATACATGTATGACAGGCCTATTGCTGATTTTAGGCCTGTGGCTGATTTTAGGCCTTCAGTGTATAAGCAGGGCTGCCCCTGACATCTGCTCCATTCTCTAAATATAGAGGTGCTGTGGCGATTCTAATCTTTTGAAGGTGGGGATAGAGGCCTGACCGCCAGTAATTGAAGGGGACTTTGTAGTGACTCCAGTCCCCCTGTCGTTGTCCAGTGAGGCATAAGGGCCATACCCATCCCGATGTCTTTTTCCTGGAGAAGGGATACTTTAGACATCATACCCTATGCAGTCAGGCTTGTCCCTCAGGGAAGCCAGAGAGATATTTTTAACTTTTATTTATATTCCCTTGCTGTGCTTAGCCTCGCAGCCTAATCAAGAATTCAAATCACCAATCAAAGAGGGTTCTGGGTGGCCCCTCCCTGCTTAGTCTATGGGTAGAAGTCCCCTCTTTTAGGTTGGGTGGAGGTGGGTTTTGGGAACACCCTGGATAGAGTAACAACCTCATCTTGAGTCTCGTGGTCCTCCATAGTTAACTTATGATAATGTATCTGAATAGGTTTTGCTACCAAATTATCTGTACTTACAACTTTTAATCTTCTCTTTTATGATTATCCATGATTCTTGGAAAAAGAGGGTATAATATAAATGACCTAGTTAGATGTGAAATTTACACATTGATTAATTGTAGGTTTTTGTGTTAATTTCTGTCTATTGTAAGCTTTGAGAGTAGAGAACTGCCCTAATATATGGATATAACAATAAAAACCTGGGGGAGAGTTTATTATGATATATACTTAGTATTAGGTTCTGCTAATAGATATTAGGTTCTGTCTATGTCTACATCCTATGACATAAACATACATTTTTGGCCTAGTTAATGGTACAAGATGTAAATTCTCTTTTGTGAAGAATGTTTAAAATCTAGCCATAAAGTGGTTCATTATTTCCATAACATTTGTGCCACTGTTGCATCAGTGGGCATACCTTGTGAGGTCATTCATTATTGTAGCTCAATGGGACCATATCTAGATACATTGTTGATCACTCTTCCCAACCCAGTAGCATGCACAATGCATTCTAACACTATGAAAGCTAGCCAACAGGAATGAAACTTTCAGGTCAGTATCAGCTTGACTTTTCCATGTTCTGTGGCTCAAGAATGTGGTGTCTTCAGCAGTAAGATCTTGCTAACAAGTTCTGGATATAACCTGAAATAACTGCAGAAGCCTGCAGAGTAAAAGGTAACCACTGGAGGAGGAGGGAGAAGGAGCTCAAGATAGAGACATCAGAGCACAGGTGCAAGAAAGGGGAAATGAAAAATTAAGGGAGACCTTATCTGGGGAATGGAGAAAAGGGAGTAATACAGAGGAAGTGAGAAGAAGGAAAGGTCAATAACATTGGGGTGGACAGAGAGACATTATTTTATAAGTTTACTTTACACACACACACACACACACACACACACACACACACACAGCATGGGAGGTAGGGAGAAATAGAGACAAGTGACAGATGATAGATGGCAGAGATGATAGATCTAGATAGAGAAGAGGTATCAAATGTAATTATGTCACATGGGGTGTTAACGATGTCCCCAAGAGACATAGACTATCTGAAAAAAAAATCTCAGAGTTAGACATGTAAGACTCATTTTGAATTTCTGGTCTGGGAGATTTGAATTGCTAGTCAGTCTAAGAGATTTTTGAAACCAATGTTTGTTATTGTATTGCCCTTGGCTGCATCCCAACATGTGAAAGTAAGACCCTATTGTTGAGAACCAGAAATAGTTGGACACAGAACTTGTTGGGATTGAGCTGTACCTGGTCTGGAAGCCTTCTCACTCGAGTACTGGTTCTCATTGTATTGGAAGATGCTATATAAACTGCCAAGGAGAAAAGCAACCAATAGTGCTAACCAGTTGTGATGACTGCAAACCACAATAATGACCTGGAAAGATAGTCCCAATGTTACAACAGTGGCACTTTTATCTTGCAGGTAACCAAAAGCTAATTTGGAGTTAAGGCCTGATCAATAGCAGAGAAATCATGACTGGTATTGTCAACCTAGCTAACTAACTGTGGGTAGAGATGTCATTGACCATAGAGGAAAACCTACTACTGTCATTTCCTAAACCAATCTCGTTCTGTTTTAAGGCATTTTATAACCTGTAATGACTTTCCCATATCCTACCACTTTGGGCCAGAAGTCAAAACTTAGCCCATACATCACCACCACTTCCTATATCATCAAAGAACTCTTCTAAGTTAGACACATGCAGATTATTAATGCATGCTACTGCTAGTAATTTTATATATACCACAGTTCTCTGAAAATTTTAAGTGTTCTGACCTGTTCTGGTCTGTGCTGTTCCACGCTGCCCCTTGTTTTGGGCACCAAGTGACCCAGTCCATTCGGGTCCTGGTCTAGCAAGAGAGAGAGTAGGGATGGAAGGGCAAGAGACACGAAGGATGGAGACAAGACAGAGAGTCTGTTCAAGTCCTGTTTATTAAAAGGAAATCATGGGTATATATAAGCACAAGCAGAGAATGCAGCTGAAGACACTTTACCACGTGCACCTTGCAGCTGGGGGCATTAAACAACAAAACAAGATATGGGAGAAAAATAAGATGTTTAACAGAGTGTGCTCAGCTGTTGTAGGCTGTTGAAAACAAGTCTCTTTTCAGGGCATATGGCCTGAGATGGCTGTAAAGATGATAGCTGCTTTCCACTAGGAGTGGGCTCTCAACAGACCCCCCCATTTAAATTTTTTTTCAAAACGGAATGGTGGGAAAACTTATGGAAACTGTGCCTGCCTTATGCCAAAACAAAAGATCCCAGCCTCCCTTTCCTCTTTTTGGATACTCAACAGCCATTGGTTGAGCTCCTGTCTTAGGATGGTGAGACCTCCCAGTTAGGGGCAAGGGTCTTGAGGTGTTCTCTTACCTGTCATTGACTATCTGGCTTAGCGAGTTAGGGGTTAACCCTTGTCAGTCTCTATGATAGAGGTTTTAGAGTCCCCTACTTCTAGCCTGTAATAAGAGACATGTATGGGTTTCATCTGAAAAGCGTCTATCTGTTGTCATACAAAAGCCATCAGTTTGTTAAACAACATGAGTGCGAGAGACAAGAGACTTAACAATGCCTGAATGGTCGGTATAAAGGCAACACTCTTTTTAAAGGGCAACACACATTTCCCCCTGTTGGAGAAGTTAAAGTCTATGACTTGTACCCAGAAATTTTGAATTAATGGAAGAAATTATACCAATGAAACCCTTAAATTTGCATCAAAATTTTGTACCATCAAAGAAATTATAACTTCAGCTTAGTAACAATTATTTCTATCAATAAATTATGGCCATGTAATCAACTTTAGCTCTTCCTCCCTTTTCCAATAAAACCATTATTTTCCCTAGAAAGACAACCTAATATTAACCACCTCAGTCCCAAGTCCAGGGAATTGGGATGCCGACTCTTCATTAACTTCTTCAAGCTGAATATGGGCATTGAGATATTAGAAGAGGGGTGAGGGGAAGGGTAAATTGATAAGCCTCTGATGTCTGTCTTAACTTCATCCAGCTGGAAGTCCAGGACATCAGTGGATATGCAGGTGACAAGAAGATTCATTCACCAAGGCTGTGTATTCTGTAATATACAAATCTCAAAACAAATTTTAGTATCAAGAGAATTATTTTGTTTAATTCTCTGCAATCTAGTCTTCCGGAGGCCTACCTCTGTCATATCCAATCCATATAATTCTAAAAGATATAACTACTACCTTTATGACCTCTTCAGAAAACATATAGAAAAACCTTTTTTTCCCTAATCTGCCTATCCTTGAGCCAGTAACCAGAAAAGCCTTTACATTGACCTTTTTATCCAGAGTAGAAATATAACTACACAACTCAGAATCACACCCATTTTGAAAGTTAAATCAATCTAACACAACTGATTAACACTATCTTTCTGTTCAGCTCTCTGCCTAGAGCAATCTTCTATTTTTCTATTTATCTGTTTGGCTCTCTTGACTCAGAATAGCCTGCAATTTATTCCTTGCATCTTTAAAGCCAGATGAAAATCATCTGTTCCTGCTGACTTATTTCTTGCCCCATTTTTGTTACTATGACCTGCTGGTCTCGACACACTAGGTTCCTGCGGTGATCACCTTTGTTTCACTTCTGAATTTTTGGCAGATTCTTCGAGTAATGTCCCTCACTGGATCTTTTGTTCTTGCTGCCTTGCGTTGAGTGCCAAGACCAAGCCAGCTCTGTCAGTCAACAGGTTCTTCAGCGTAGGAGTGAGGATGCATGCTTCCAATTCCTGCGGTGTCCTTCACTGTATCCCACTTACTGGAGCTCCAACGTTGAGATGCCACTATGTCCCGACCCGTTCTGTCCCATGTCTGGGGGCCACTTTGTCCCAGCCTGAGCTGCTGCTCTGGTCCATGGGACCAGCAAGAGAGAGAGTGGGGATGGAAGATCAAGAGACATGAAGAATGGAGACAACACAGAGAGTCTATTCAAGTCTGGTTTATTGAAAGGAAACCCTGGGTCTATATAAGCACAAGCAGGGGAATGCAGCTGAGGTCACTTTTACACGTGCACCTTGCAGCTGGGGGTATTAAACAACAAAACAAGATATGAGAGAAAAATAAGATGTTTATGAGAGTGTGCTCAGCTGTTGTAGGCTGTTGAAAACAAGTCTCTTTTCAGGTATATGGGCTGAGTTAGCTGCAAAGATGATAGCCGCTTTCTGCTAGGATTCGGCTCCCAACACTGACCTTGAGTTTTCATTGCATTTTCTTAGTGTGGTAGAAAGTTTAGTATCATAATCTTCTTGGTGCAGTTACTCTACTTAGATACCTCTTCTAAATTTGAACTAGTTGATAGAATGAAGTCGTTTTTTGCTTGTTGGTTGTCTCACAGCAGCATTTTAGTATCACAGCACAAAAGACCATTCAGGCACACTCTACAATAGGACTCTCAAAAGCTTGCTCATTGAGGTTGTTTCCTCTTTGGAGAAATGTCTTGACGTCTATAAAACATTCTTATAATACAAAAACAGAAACAAAAAACACAGGACTTTGGCATTTATTCTTGTTCTCCTCTCTGTACATGTGCCCTTTACTTTTCCATGCTCCAAAGTTATTAATCAGAACGATCTTTGGAGATGCTCCATTTTTTTTCCACATAAGAAACACCTTACGACTGCCTTTATGGTTAAGTAAAAACTTGGCATGTTATTTAAAACTGATGCCAGAGTCAAGAAGAGGGAAAACTATGAGAACTACCTTTGGGGACTTGGGTGATTTAATTGTAGATTTCTTGACTTGTTCAGACCATATATTTGCAGATTATTTTTGAATTAGTCATTTGCTAAGCATAAAACATGTTAAAGAATGTTCAAAGATTAAGACTGCCTAGAAGAAAGACAATTTATTGTGTCTAGCTTGTTTATGTTTTCTATGTAGCTGATAATTGGTCTATAATGTGGAGATCTCAAGAAAGAGCAGAACTAAATGATTAGAGCTGGGCACTTTCACTGAATATATGATCATTAATAAAGAGTGTATAATATTATCCAGAAAGAAGACTACAGAGAGGAAAAAGTATAGGCCCAAAGTCAGAACCCAGACACAGCATAAGAAGAAATACTAGAGGGCAGAAGGAAGAAAGACTATTAGTAAGCCGATATAAAATTCCGAGCAAGAAATAAAGTCAAGTACAGCAGGAAACTTACATGTTGGAATGGATAAGAAGTGCTCTCCTGGATGTAATTTCATGAGAATCACAAAAATAGGAGCTAGAGTTGAATAGGGCAAGCAGTGAAAAGGAAATTGAAATGTAGGATATAGGCTGAGATTTAAGGTATATTTAGACAAGATATAGTGAGGGAAGAGGGGAGGGTAAAAAGGTAGCAGTTTAAAAAAGGAGAGTAAAAATCTTATGGGGAAATATGAACTGTTGAAAAGAAGTAGAGAATAGTAGGACAGGTCTAAGTGAAAAAAAGAATAAGAGGAAAGAAAGGTGTATAGCTGAGCAGTATAGGATTGTTTTTGTAGAATAATGAAAGTAAATATAAAGACAGGTACATAAACTCATATAATCAAATTAACAATGGAAGGAAATCAAAGCAGTTCACATTTCCTGAAATCTTTCTGAAGTAGGAGAAAGGTCCAGAAGAATTATGAGATAGGAGCTAGTAAGTGGCTTATTGGGCTTTGAAACTGGACCTCACTAAAAATGCCGCCAAGAGTCATCAGGAAATAACCACAGCCTTCAGGAAGAATAACTAATCCATTTTGTCAATATCTTATAGTTACATGATGGAGAAGAATGAATAGCAGATTGTTGGAGACATTCAGAGTAGAGGCATGAAAAGGAAGCGAAGCAGAAAAGCAGGGTTTTGATTAATTTATATGCACTACATAGTTTGGTTTGGGTGGCTAGAAAATGGTCAAGTGTGTGTGTGTGTGTGTGTGTGTGTGTGTGTGTGTGTGTGTGAGAGAGAGAGAGAGAGAGAGAGAGAGAGAGAGAGAACTAATCAAGCAGAGTCAGCAATCTTTGACTTCATCACCATTAACTTTATGATCACTAGATACTAGGGTACATCATGACTTGATATTTGAGCCTTCTATTTCTTATGAACTTTCTCTGCTAGATTAATACTGTTCACAGTAAGACATCATGGACTCTCTACATTCCTAGTTCCCAAGATTTTACTACAGTCTCTAGAATATAAATATACATGTCTAATTGCCTCCTTGGTATTTCTTCTTCAGTGTTGAAACAAACTTGACAAAAGAAAAAGAATCATTCTGAGTGAGGTAAACCAGAGCCAGAAAGGCAAACACAGTATATCCTCACTTATAAGAGGATATTAGTTATTAAATAAATCAATCCACAGGCCCAGATGGGATACGTAAAATGAAAGGCTAAAGTGGCAGGAGAGGTATGCATGGATCTCCCTGGGAAGGATAAATAGAATAGATTTTGCAGGTAGACTGGGGATAGATGGGATGAGAACAGGAGGGATCACAGGATTAGGTTTTGGGGAAAGGATGGAGGGAGACAGTACTGGAAAGATGACTAGAATTGGAAATCACTGTGGGTGGGTTATATGGAAACATAGTACAATGGAATCTCACTGGAATCTCTAGGGAGACCCTAGGGAAGACTCCTGGTAATGGGGGATATGGAGCCTGAACCAGCCATCTTTGGTAACCAGACAAGGCTTCCAGTGGTGGGACTGGGACATCAAGCCAGCCACAAAACATTTGACCTACAATTTGGGTTACAAGATGTGTTGTAGTGATGATGGTGCAGATCTTGTGGGAGCGGCTGATCAATAATTTGTCCAATTTGAAACCTGTGCCATGAGAAGGAGGCCACACATGACACTGCCTGGATGGCTAAGAATCAGGAGGTCAGAGAGCTAGGATAGAACCAAACATAATTGGCCAAAAAAAGTCAATGAAATGATTCCTAATTATAGTCAGCCATCCTTATAGATTGGTGCCTCTCCAAATCATCATTAGAGAGGCTTCATTCAGCAATGAATGAACTTGGGGGATAGTGGGAGGTAGAGTCTTTTGGGTATATGTCCAGAAATGGAACAGGGTCATATGATAATCTTGATTTTAGCTTTCTGAGGAACCTCTGATTTCCACAGTGACATTATCAGTTTGCACTCTTACCAGCATTGAACAAGACTTTCCCTTTTCCCATATACCAATAAACAGTTTTTATAATTTGATTTCTTTTTTTCAGAATTACAAGAGATTTATTTTTTTTAAATCCTCACTTTAAATATCAGGCAACTTAATACGTGCAATTGGGTCCATTTTTAACCATGTTTACATTACATGGATCATAAAGATTTCTTTCATAGCTAAGAAAAAATAAAAAGAAGCCAGTTGCCAAGAAAACAACAAATCATTTGATTTCTTGATGATAATCATTCTGATTAGTGTGAGATGGAATTTTAAAGTAGTTTTAATTTTTATTTCTCTGATAATTAATGATGTTGAACACTTCTAAAAATGTGTATTAGCTGTTTGTATTTCCTATTTTGAGAGCTCTTCAAAATTATAGCCCATTTACTGGTTGTTTTGTTTTTTGAGTTCTTTATGTATTTTAAATCTGATATATAGCCAAAAAATAATTTCTCCCATTGTTTAGTTTGCTTCAGAGAAGAGAACTTTAAATTTCTGTCTTCCTTATGGTGCTTTGAATGAGTGGAAAGGAAAACGTTGTACGTGTGTATATACTCTAACTTTGTGTGTGTGTGTTTTACATGAGTATGTTTGTGTATAAGTATGTGTATAAATTCATTATGCTTAGTCTCTGTAGCAAGTCTCTCACCATTAATTAATCTTGACTAGTTCTTAAATGCAGTGTATGTTTAAAGAGTTCGAGGCTTTTCTCATCTTCATACATCTTTATGGACTCATTTCTTTTTTTCTGAATTGCTTGAGGACCCTGGAATATACATATTATATAGCCATTTCTTCTTAATTGAAACTTATACTCCTGGAAGGAGAAGGAAGGTCCTAAGATTTAGGAAATTTACTTAATTTACCAGGCTTAGAAAGCTCATGACACTTAAAAGATTCACATTTCTCCCAGGATCAGTAATCATGGGGTCACTAAACTGTTTCTCAGGAGGAGGAGACTTGTGAGTGAAGCTGCCCAACTAGAGTTCCAGGTATGTAACTTTTTGAGCTGTGACCAATGTTAGGATAGCTGATTTGCTGATGCAGCTGCTTTGTATCACCCATTTTCTTTATTAAATGATATATTTATTAATTACTTGAGAATTTAGTGCAGTGTCTTTTGAACATATATACTTACCTCTCTACTTTTTTCATAACCACTCTCATCCTTTCCCACCCAACAATAAGTTTTCTGTTTTTTTTCCTTTTCCCATAAAGTTTAGTTTGTGTTGCCCTGTTAGTCTTGTGAATGAAGTCTGGCACAGCATGTCAATTACTCCTTAGGGTTGCCTCTTGGAGTTTCTAGTCTTACCAATGAAAACACTTAAAACAGACTAAAATAGATACCTTACTATGGAAGAGATTGCATGAATGACCCATAAAACATCTGAAAATGAAGCTGGTATTGACCTGGAAGCTTCAACTCTACTAGCTAGATTTCATAGCCCTGAAATGTGCTATTCATGCACCCAGAGAAAGAAATCATCATCTATCTTCTCCAGCTATGATAACAACCTACTTGGAAAGGTATGCCCACTGGTGCAGCTGTAGTAGGAATATCATGGGAATAGCACATGGCACATTGTTTATATCTAAGGATGGCTCCAGAAAATGCAACCCATACCTAGAACTGTTAATGGCACAGAGAACATGTGGGAGATATAGGTCATAGGCTCAAGGGGAGAACCTCCCCTTATTCTTTTTTGTTTTCGAGACAGGGTTTTTCTGTATAGCCCTGGCTGTCCTGGAACTCACTCTGTAGACCAGGCTGTCCTCAAACTCAGAAATCCACACGCCTCTGCCTCCCAAGTGCTGGGATTAAAGGCATGCGCCTCCACTGCCCAGCACCATTATTCTTTTAAATGTCTCTGTGTCAAATAGACTCCTAGTGACTTATTATATCTGTAGATTAGTGCATCTCTCAAATCTCTTCAAATAAACTTCTTTTTCAGTAGATTACTATTAACACAGAGACCCACAACTGATAAATGTGAAGAAAATACATGATCATGGAGTGCTTGTCAATAAATGGGACAACTATATCAAACTCTTCTCTTTCTAATGCTCAGATACCATTGTGGTAGAGGATACAGAAAGATTGTAAGAAGCATAGGTGATAGATGTCTCTAAGGAAACTGTTTTCCACACACAAGAGGGCCCTTGCGTATATGAGATCATAGTAGTTATCACAATGTGTACAAAATTCTGTAAAAGCTCTAGCTAGATAAAGTCCCAGCATTGAGAGGGGAGCTGAGCATTAAGCAATACTTCTGAGGAGCTACTGGTAATTGATGGTTGCTCGTAGAGAGAATTTTCTTTAAAGGCGTAATCC